CTCACGCTCCCAAAGTCAAAGGCGTGCCCTGGCGAGGAGGCGTGGGCGGCTACCAAGGAGAGTTTATCCTTCCGTCTCACGGCCAATTCATGCTCGTGCAATTTAAATATAAGTAAGATTCTTTGGGAAGAGAATAAACTTTAATGCGTAAGTTTTCGGGACTGGTTCTCCAGCTCGTCTTCAGACTTTTGGACTATGTACAAAACCAGTTAACTATTTAACCATGTCGAACAAGTGAATGTATGGTTGGCCGAAGCCTGCGCCAATGCGCGTCAATGATTTGCGTCATCCCCTCGGCATTGCTACACTCGCTTCCATTTGTCCTTGAGAAATTTGTATGTCGCATCTAAATCGATATGCCGATTGATTCATGCCTCATCTGAGTGCATTGCCTCCAGGAATTCGCGGCCTTTCCCTATTGGGCATGCGCCAACAATGCGGGTGTTCTCCCATGCTAATTTGTGCCCAGTGTCCAGTGTGTGCATAGCTACCTGGGATAGATGATCTATTCTCCTCACCGCTAACTGATGCTCATGTATGCGGGTAGACACAGATTCACCAGTTTGGCCACAACAGACGGCATCACAACTGGGACATGGTATTTTGTAGACAACATCTTTTCTACCAAGATAGCCAACCCTGTCCTTAGGGTGTACAAGCCGTGCACGCAAGGTGGTTGTAGGTTGGTGTGCTACTTGTATGTGACGATTTTTCAGCTGTCTTTCGACGAGTTCAGATACATTTTTCACGTCTGGGAGGGTCCGCCTGGTGAATGCTTTTGGTGCTTGGGTGGCCGTTGTTTTTGAAATACTTTTCTGTTTAAACTCATGTTTTTATGCAATGACGTACGAAGTGGCGCGGGCATCCGTTGTGGGAAAATAATTTGAAAAGTTATTTCATTTCTGCTTAATAACTTTCTTTATCAGAGCAGTGTGTTTTAGCCCGGTTTAGTAGGCTGTAGACAGTACTCCTCTTGTGAGAGATAGGATGGTTACTCTCAAAATGTAAGATGACCTCGGAGTATGTTTCTTTGCGATAAACTGAAGTGTGAAGGGATCCATCAGTTTTTCGGCATACGAGGACATTCAGAAATGGGAGCTGTCCATCAACCTCTGTTTCAAAAGTAAACTTAATTCCTGGAAATGTGGAGTTAGGATTCGTGTGAAGCTGGTCTAATTGGTTTCTCTTGACAATGACAAATGCTTCATCAACATAGCGCAGCCATAGTTTTGGGTTAATTTTAGGTAGGGATATAAATATATATATTTTATAGAAGACGTCCACAAAAATATTCCTCCATTTACTCATTTGGTAGCGGATTTCGTCTTCTTTAAATTTTATACTTTCGGTTTTAAAAAAAGTGTCTAATTGTGAGATTTTTCAATACGTTTGTTCAGACGTCCTCGGGCGGTGTTCTCGAATACCCTGGCATATATCACCCAGGTGCTTGAGGCTACCGACAACGGCTTATTTCGCGTAGAGAAGGCTGCATCATTTACAAAAGATGCTCATCAGAAATGCGTCATCTCACTTGTTCTCTCACCTTCTCAGCCCTAATCTCCTAAGGGAGGCAAACATACGCGAAAACGGCAACAATTTGAATCAGATGGTTTTGCGCTGCGATTGCCTGTAGTTGCAGTGGCCTGACGGTTTCGCTGGGAGCATTCTGACCAGTTACATGCCTTCAGCACGTGTCAGTTAGACAGTGGTATTATTTCGGCGAAGCCTTAAATGATATTGCCGGCTGGAGCCATGCGTAGGGCTTCTTGACAGCCGGAGAGTACGTCTATCGAGCGCAACGATGACCAGCGCCACAGCGTAGACCACTAGCGACGTATGGCGTGTAATTTAGGCTATGAAGACGTGAAGTCCGCCACAGCGCTTTCACTCTCCTGAGGTCATGTTCAAGTATCAAGAGAAGTTTACGGCAACAGAATACGGTCATCGACACGGCGATTGTTCGGATGCTCGCCCCTCGTCTTTGAGCATCACGACCCACCGGCCTCTCAGCGACATCCAAAATGTGCTTTCGACACAAACTGGCGATCCTAGAGGATCATGCAGGGAAATGGTTGTAATAGAGTCAGAGAAAAGATTATTAACGTACCCATAGCGTTTACGGGGATGTGCATGTTTTCTGTTAATAACTATACGGTAAATAATTACCACGAAATGTGTTATTACTTACTGGTAGACTATAATGTTCTTATGGGCTCTGTAATTTTACATTTCACCGCCGACGGCAAGTCATCCAGGATGCGAAGATGCCAGCGCTGACATGCAAACTCGCCACTTAAATGGACAAATTTGCCGTGGACGTAGACCTTGTCGTCCACTTTATAGGCAATACTAAAAATGTGCTGATGCGATGCTGCACGACTGGACACCCCACGGTCCTGAAGAATCTCATAAATAGGAACTCTTTTAAAACCGGAATATGCAGGCATAAAATTTGAAGAAGACGAAATCTGTTCTCCAATGAGTAAAAGAAAGAATGTGTTTGCGCATGTCTTCTGTAAAATATAACTCATGAGGACATCAGCAAAAACCCCCTGTACCATACACATAGAATGCCTGCTGAAGTAGTGACTGGTATGCAAGCTAGTTCGTTGTGAGGTGGATTCCGTCACAGCGTTTTTGCTCTATGCCGTAAGTCGTGTTTCATTAGGAGGATTAAGACATTTGAATATGGACACTGACGAAGTCGCTGAGCGGGCCTTCGTCCCTCATCCACCTGTACCAGGACTTAACCGTCCACATGTAGCTTGCCGACATAGGGACATCACACCAGTAAACTAAAGCGGTTCAACTGTAGTTCCATCGCACTGAGAAAAAAACTTATTACTGAATCCACAGCGTTTACGGGGATGAATCACCGCAAAATGCGTTTGACTTCAATGATGAGCCCTTTCGCATTTAGCAGTACTTCGACCAAGTTCGCTACTTAAATGGACGAAGTAGACAGCACTTCCAAGTACTAGATCTGCCCTAATTTTTTGAGACCCAGAGCAAATTTCGGAGACAGAACCAGTCAAATCCAATCCTGTGAAACACCAGCCGAATGAATGAGGCCAAAGACAGTTAAGACGGCCATGCATATGCACATGTAGCCTATCTCCTTTCAACCAAAAATCAGTCCAAACAGGCAAGAGGTCCTTTGAACAGGGCACACCAAAGAGGTCTATGCAAAGTAACTATACAGCGTGTGGTGGAAAGTGGACAAAAGACAGCGCGGCGAGAGAATTCGTCTCCAGCGACGAGGGCCTCGCAGAACTTCTCGGTGTGGCTTTATCCCACGGATCCTTTTCTTTTTCTCCTGAAGAGTTTGCTTGTGGGGTTCCGGCAGGGTGGCTGCCCGACCGCCAAAAACGGGCACCTGCTCATGAAGCTCCCGTAGCACATCCGCCTTCTCAGTACTCTGTAGATTATTCTGGGAAGGTGGGGTACTAACAAAATGAAGTAGCCCGTTACAAACACTTAAAACACCGGTGTGTTCAGTCTTACATTGGCACGAGGTAGTTTGTTCACCACAAGCGGTGAGGACTACGGTCGTCACAGTGGTTTACTCAAAAATTTGTTCAAACCGAAGTGGGCTTGCACCACATCCTGTGCACTTGATCTGCCTAAACCCACCGCGTTCAGGTGAGGGGATCAAGTAGATACGGCAGGAGGGGATAGGCGCGAGCGAAGTTGATAAAGTAGAGCCACGCGTGACATACGCGACTTGGTCCCTAGCCCTGAAATTCAGGCCTCATCACGAGGGTGTCGGAGCCTCACCTAAGTGAGAGTGCCATGAAGGCCACATTAAGGAGTCTTTGAACTCTGACCGTGTTGTCATGCCATTTGATAGCCTCCTAAGCCATAATTATTGGTACCTATAGGTGCTTTCAAAGGGCGTCTTCTTGTGTACACTGGGAAGGTAAGAGTTAGGCCCTGATTAGCTTGGCCTTATTTTTTACCCTTCACATTAACCGGTGTCTTGTTCGATTTAAGCCAAATGGCAGTGAAATTGTTTGCGGTGGCTGCTGTGTCATGAAGCCTCCGTCCACTGCTTGTCACACACGTGCGGCCAAAATTAAGGTTTGTTGCAGTAACGCAGACTTGTCTGGGATGACCTCTTTGTGAGACTGTGACGCAGCGAGGTATCTTACCGGTCTTCATCGCCTGTTCTTTTTCAGGCTACTGGTCGGACACACCCTTTTTCAAGGGCGACCCCTGCCAGTTCGGTCTTGTGGGTGTGCTCGATATCAGCCGCAACGAGGACCTCTTTGACGATCTTGCCTCCTCCACTCTCCTGAACGCGGCCGAGCGGGAGTTTATCATCACACGACACGGTCTCTCTGAGGGTATCCTCACTGCCTTCGCCTGGTCCAGTGCCATCGCCTACAACCAGGGTGAGCGTGCCCCCCTCTACATCTATTCACCACTGACAACGTCGTTCAGAAAACTGTCATTCATGCAGGCGCTTGCCATGTGCAAAGTTTAGGGACATGAACTATCTGACTTTTTGAACAGCCGGATTTGCTGTCCGCCGGCAAGGGCTGTACCAGCATCGAAATTGGACAGAACTTTAGATGGTTTTTCGGGGTTGTCAACCCTTTTCCGTTCAGTACTGTCCATGACAGTAGGTGGCAGACCCGGCTGTTCGAAGTGTCAGACAATTTGTTCAGTTGATGTCACCCTCCTCTGACTGTTACCACGCAACCGTTGCCTGAATCTTCGAAGTCGCGGAAGTATCGCAAGAAGAGTAATGCACACTTTTGACGCTCTGGTACGATCTCTAATTCTTCCACTCACTGCTGGCACAGTGAAGGTTTATTTTCCACTATTTAAACCCCGAGTTCTACCGCTGTGAGTGCCTCATCTTTGCACCAGTTCTTTTCCTAAGTGTACAACCGTCTCGCGTCGTTAATCTACAGAACGTTAAAGGTAATGAAAACCTGATATATCGTCCCCTGCATTTAAATCGAGTACCCACAATGGACTCTTATTTGGTCGTCTTCAAGTGCAACAACTCATGTACTTGCACGCCCACTCGATCACCGCTTTAGCTAACGTGTGCAGGTACTCATTTGGCGCCATCTAGTTTTCCTGACGGTTCGGCCTGCTGTTGCTTTGGTTTTGGCCGGACCTTTCTGTTTGACTTTATATACTCGTAGCGATGCCGATTAGCTTGTGTTATACTAACTGAAGAGCGTGCAGTGAGTCTGGAGTTGACGTCGAAGAAAATAAAACGACAAGACCTGAACATTCTCCTTAGTAGTGTCTTAACTGACGGAAACTTCAACTGCTTTACTCAAGTATGGCACTTTTTGAACTCCAGCTGGCCACGACTAAGTATTGGCCTTGATCTAACCCTTCCCCCCCTCCACTGTTCAAGTAATTTTGAGTGATATCCAAAATAGTTGAATTGGATATCCTGAAAGCGTCTGGGTAGGGAGGGTTATAGCCCCCATGTCTATGTCACTACAAGGTCTGTGCGACCTATTGTCGCCCGATTACCGCTGTTTTGTGAAGTCTTATAGTCCACAACAATCCGTTTGTGATCAGCAGTCACGAGGATTCACAGTCACATGACGCCGTAGTGGCGTAACATCCAATCAGATCGCCGTTATCCCCATGAGTTCATAATTCACCTTTAGGTCTTAGCAACTGGTCAGTTCGAGGCGCGGAAATAGATATTTTGAACGGATGTGCGACTACCTCCCGCGGAAAACGCCCTGAAGCCTATACAAATATTAACGGCAGGAACCAGAGGTCGAGTCAATGAAAGCTGGACTTAGAAAATTCTCGACCCCATACCGCTTTCCCATTGCCAAACTATTGAGATGAAAGGACAGAAGTGAACACAAATCGCCATATATTTCTGACTGAGATCGGTAGACCTCTTCTGCATCAACATCAAACCCCGCCCTGGTCGATGCCAGTCTTTCATCGTCCGCCTAATCAGTTTATTAGGTTGGTCCACTGATTGTTCTCAAACGTGGAGGTGTTACTGAATTCCAGCTTTAATTGATCTATGTAAGCCGCCTTGTAAACTGATAAAGACTAATGCCCTCAGAGGATCTTTATGTAGTGTAGGTTCTATATTATTTTTACAGTTGTTTTTATGCCGTCTTTGGTTATGACCCACCCCCAGCACTGTTCCCAGTGACATAATTAATACAGTGATTCTTCCTCACAACTTCTTTTTCGGTGCTGGGTGCAGCACGTTTCAAGGGAATGAGCATCAACTTCTAACTCCCACCTCTCTTTTGCACCTTGTGCCCTGTCCAACCCCCACCTGTTGCAGGTTTTACTCTCTACAACGACTTGACTTACCCCATCCCGGTGCAGCTTCTACTGACTGACGGTCATCACTTCCAGTTGCTTCGATTCCAGCTGAACTCCCTGACTGCGCTCTGGAAGCCTGAAGACGCCGGATTACCTTTCAACATGGCCTGGGCATCACAGCGACTGGCGCTCTACGATCAGGACGCAGCTGCGCTGTAGGTTAACAATTCCGACTAGTACTTGGAGCTGGCTCTCTGCACTGCTTCCTTGTCTGCGACAAACAGCTCACTATTCTTAGATTTCATTATTTTTTTAAAAAATGCAGTATTCCACAGGGTTCTACGCCTCCCGAACCTGCCAGTTGAAGTTTTGTGACGGAGGATGTGTGGCCTGTTATAGAAGCGTAAAAAACATACAGTTGGTTACCGAACCCATGAAAATTGTCGAAATTTACGAATGATTGCAACCACTCGCAAACCGACACCTATGTGTGGACAACTTTAAAAGAATTCGAAACATAAAATAAATATTAAAAGCAGTCATGCGTTGTTTGGAAATATGAACGTTTTTAGAAAAGCGTAAAATTCCGGAAAAGTCGAAAATGGTTGCAATTTAGTAAGCTTTATTTTTAAATTTGCAAGGTATCTGCTCATGCAAAATACTGAGTAAATATGAAAGCATGAATAGAATAACGTTTAAAAGCAGTATTTTAGTGAAGTTTGCATTTAAATGTCCTTTAAGAATTAGTGTAATTTTAGGTATGACAGTTTCCAGACAGCCAACATTTTGAGCATAGCGTCCAAAGCAGTTTTCCGAGGACTCATCTTGTTCTTTATGCTTTTAAACTGATTGAGATGCGTTTCAATAAGGGAAGCAAGGTTTTGCTTGATTTCGCCGATAGGGACATCATAGGAACATAATTTGTCATAAGTTCACATGCCGTCAGGCCAATCGATGACTAGTAAGTTTATGTAGGATTGACAGGTGTACTCGTAAACATACCATTTTGTGTTTATGAAAAGAACTTTTCTCCCGTAAAATTATTTTGTACTTTTTGTTTGTTCTAAATTACGTTGAGTTTCAGACCGGCCTTGAAATATCGCTCAATACTTCACGATTTTCAGTGTGTTAATCCGATTGCCCATAAAGACAGATTCTGTATTATGGGTTCATTAGAAACTTTAAAATAAGATACCAATTAATGGCATTTACCAAAGTGGCGAGTGTTTGTGCGTTTTTCCATGTAGAACGTCGTTTGGATCACTTTTGAGGACTCACGCAAACATAAAACCTCATCATCGAATAAAATGAGCGTCCACAACAAAATCCAACAATGAATATCCTTTCGGTCATTTAGAAAACATTCTCTAATATATAACCTTTCTAGGGAGTGCTTTAATACTACCCTACGTTGGCAGATGTCTGCGTACTTTAATTTTTATGGAGTGGGGCCAAGGAAAAATTGGACACTTTGGCCATCTCTTTCATGTTGCTAAAAGATGCTGATATTTTTTTTCACCGCAAACGTATGAGCATGCCTTTTCCTTTATATTGCGTCCGTTTCCACTATCTTTACTCGCTTTTAAACTCCGTTTTACTATTATGAATGCACGGCAGAGTGGCTATATAAATACTGATATTTTGCTGAAGCCATCAATGTTTTGCTCGTTCCACTTCTAAATTGCGTATGTGCAGAAGCGAGACCACACAAACAGTAATGTTTCAAATGTTTAAAACTGAGAAATGACTGCTCGGTAGTGGTCGTTCCTGTGGCAACAAGTAGGATTTTCCAAACGGCAAAGCAATTTCAGCCCACCTAAACAAAGCATCGCCTGTATGCGTTATTACTGCACTTCAGGGCACCGAATCGTAGAGATCTGCTAATCTGGTTCTCTCAAAATAACCTTTGTGTCAGCAAGTTGATTCCCACGGTTAGCATCGGACAGAAAAAGTCAATTTTCAAGTGCGGAAAGCTCTGTTTAGTAAAACTCTCGGGAGTATATTACTTTCCTTTCAAAGAAAAACACGCTCAAATGCGCAACCGAAGCCTAGGACAGGTATTAGCATAGGAAATTGCCCGAGTATATCGCAGTGTCCATTTCCGCCCAAATTTTTAAACCTTTTGCCTAATGAAATTACGTGGACACAATTCCCGCGAAAGAGACTGAATGAGCGAGCAAAATGTGCAACGTTTAAAACGTCCAAAAATTCTAATATTACTTTCTGTCATCAGCTTTCACGAGGTACGTCACGTACTGTGGACATGTCAACTACCTCCACGTTTTGATCACAACCGCTGAGACTCAGACATCTTAGTCAAACCTCGCAGGCATCCTATTCATGCCTTCGACAAGGCTTGTGTTTTATTTATGCTGGGAGGATGCGGGAGGTGCGGATACACTGACCGGCGAAGGTGATCAATTTGGTTGACTGATGTTTTCACCAACTGCCTAGCTGTCCTAGGTGGTCACACGCAGTTGGCTAACGACTTGATTGTGCTCAGCCGAGTCGTTAATTGCGAAAATTTCTTCACTCTTGTTGGCCCTTGTTGTGATAACTGCTCAGCTATCTGGCTCACCGACACTGACACTTGGGGGGGAGGGGGCAGTGCTCGTCCGCGCCCTCCTCGAACGGCCAACTATTCGGCCCAGACGAAGTCTCAGCACAGAATAAGGAGGCGGGAGGTCATCGCGTTTGTTAATCGACCGGGGACCAGAAAGACACGTGCAGCCACCCGCGATGAGTGCGGGAGTAGTCAATTTTTATAAGTATGCGGTGACATAGCAGCCTCATTCTATAAGTACTGCAGCAATTATGCGAGAACATTATCCCTATCCAATTGCGCATCCGAAACGTCAGCCAGATAAAACTTGTTCCAGCGATCGGGTCCCCATATTCTTAAGTTTGGCCCAGTCATGGTAAGGGGACCAGCTGTGTCGAAGTACTTGTCGACGGGCGGTCTATTTGTGGCCAGATAAGCCCCTGTCCAGCCGTCTTGACCTCATCCTGCCACTGGAAGACAGCGGCTGTGAGAATAGAATGTCACATCCAAATCCGCTAAAATCTCCCCCAGCGCAATTCGATTTTCACATGATCACTATCGCTTTATCAAGAGTATTTGGGTCAGTACAGCTTTCAACTAAGGAGCTATCAATCTGAAAAAGGAAAATCCTCCATTCTTTAGAGTACAGTATACGTC